TTTCAGAAAGGCGGGGCATAGAAGAGAAACAATAATGTACAGTATGTGGAAAATAATGTGTTTTTTTAACCTTAAACCGCATAAACACATTTCATTACACCAAATACACAAAATAATGTTCTTTTTAGCAGCATCATATGACCCCTTTAAAGGAGGATGAAAATTATTTTTTAGAATTTAAAAAAAGTTTTGCTTCTCTTTGTTTTTAAATCTGGCTTTGAGGGAAATTAAAACGATCCAACGCAAAAAACTGAAAGCGGCAACACTCTGATGTGTGATTGTTCAAGCTCAAGGTTGAAGCATGTGAATGGTAAATATGTCAAGTATTTGACCCGACCTTCTGTACAAACAAGACATGGTGTTGCAAGCGTTCATACTGCAGCATGCGCTCGTGAACTATTATGAACCATTTCAATGCTGCAAATACTGCTTGCAAAAATGTAGATATTTTTAATATAGAGACGAAATCTTTAATGATTTTTATAAAGTAAACATAAGAATAACTTTTATATTCTTAGCAATATTTCCAGATGAACACTTACTGGACTGAAGCAACTTTACTTGAGTAACTTTTTTATATGTATTTTATGTAAGAATCTGTTATAAAGATCTCATCTTCCTTTTTTGTCCATATAAATATCAGCATCTGAACCAAATTGCAATTTTGTAATTTTCTTTGCAGTTTGATTAAAATTGAGCAGTTTTTTCTTCCTTGATATTAAGCTCTATTCTTCTATCATACTAAATAAGCCATAAAAGCCTGATTTATCAAATATAACCCCCAAAAAAACATATGCAAATGTTTTTGTCTAAAGGTCAGGCTTTACGGGGTAAAAACAGCTGACAAAATTCTCATCAAAGTGGAAATATATACCTCAATAAACCACAATACATAAGATAAGTCACATGAATGTCATGCCAGATACCATTTCAATAAGTCACATGATTTTAAAAAAAATCATTCATGCATGTAGCACAAGCAGAATAGTACAGATTATACTTACAGATAGAGGTTTGCCTTAACCTTAAATAAACCTCTAACCTCAACTATGAGTAATAGTAGTACATGTAGTACATGTAATAATGATGCATGTTGCAACTTTACAGATCTTCTTTATGCACCAAGAGCTTGTAACACTCCAAAGAGAAAGGAAAAATTGAAAAATCGCATCATATGACCCCTTTAAAGATGAAAATGACTAGCCTAAAGCAATCAACTTTTATTGCCTTGAAGCTGATTGCATGTTGTAACTGTTTTTATTGAAGTATTGTTTCATGTTTGTTTCGGAAACCACAGGCTGTAAAATGTTCTCAGCAGCCCAATGATTTATTACAGAGAATAATATCTGTCTTGTTTTTGAATATGTTATCATTGTAATGCAAGATGTAATTCCCTGAGAGAATATTCTAACTGAATACTAGGTCAAATCTTCCCCAAAACACCTTACATAACATTTGCAGCATGTGTGTGTGTTGTTACTCAGCAAACTGGCTTTTTTTCCTTGAACAAAATGAAAGCACATTCCCACGGGGAGTGGGATGAAACAAGCTTCCTTTTGTGCTTTTATAACCTAAATAAATCCTAAAAGAAATGCATTGAACTAGCAGCTCAAAACGTATTCCTAAATAAAGAATTAACCTCAGTGCTTTTCATAATTCTGGCTATCTGCGCCACACCTTCAAATGTCAACTGCTCGTGACAGGCTTCGAGTTACTCAACACACTGGCCTGGGTTTCCTAGCTCAGCCTCATGTGACTGCATTCTGTGAGGGAGGAGGATAAAACACCTCCCTTTTTTAGCCAATCAGGTGGTGGGCCTTGGCCGAAACTGACCAATGGGGAAGAAGGTAATGGGAGACTGTTTCCACTAGTGCAGCCAAGAGTGTGGCAAGGATTCAGTGGCACTGACGAGTCAAAACTCTGGCTGGAATTCAATGTCATGCATCTTTTGCTCTCTGTGTAGGACGGAGGAAAGGAAAACAAGGTCTTGGGTTCATACTCACTCCATCTCCTTCTTCTCAGCCTCTTCTTGAGTCAGGTCCTCCTCCACGCTGTAGTCCAGAACCGAACCCACGCCAAACGCCTGGTTCTTCTCGATCAGAGGTTTGATGGTGTTCTGGTCCTCGCCTGCCACAAACTGGCCGTAGAAGGTCATTTTCATCAGTTTCTCGAAGAGCCGTTGACCAAAAACCTTCTTGCTGAGGTCCATCAACTGTGGAAGGAAAATTGAGGAATATAATGTAAATTAAACAATGCTACAAACAAATTGCCTAGTTTCTGAAAACAAACAAACAGGTTTAATATAACTGTATAATATAATTGTGAATATATTTTTATTTGAAATACAACTTAAATAATAAGATATATATTTTGATAATAATGTATAAGGTTATATTTTATAATAAGGTATATATCATTTTTTTTCAGCTAGTTCCCAAGGAGACATTTTTTATGTACTTAAATAAACACAACTAAAACTGAAATAAAAATTTATAAAAAATATATAGACATATTTTTAAAAAAAAAGAATAAAAATGACAAAAACAAAATTGCTAAAACTGAAATTAGAATGAAAATGAAAGAAGACATATATATATATATATATATAGCATATAAACATTATACTAAATATCTTACATCCCCCTTTCAGAATCTGCTAAATGTTAATTATTTTACCAAAATAAGAGGGATCAGACAAAATGCATGTTATTGTTTATTTAGTACTGACCTGAATAAGATATTTCACATAAAAGATGTTCCCATATAGCCCACAAGAGAAAATAATGGTTTAATTTATAAAAATGACCCCGTTCAAAAGTTTACATACACTTGGTTCTTAATACTGTGTTGTTACCTGACTGATCCACAGCTGTGTTTTTTGAGATCCATCTTTTCACACTGAGGACAACTGAGGGACTCATACTACGCAACTATTACAGAAGGTTCAAACGCTCACTGATGCTCCAGAAGGAAAAACCATGCATTAAGAGCCGGGGGTGAAAACTTTTTGAATTTGAAGATCAGGGTAAATTTGGGTAAAATATGTGATTATCATATATATTACATTTCTCTATATATATTATCAAATACATTATATGAATAGATTAATAATAGATAGACAGACAGATAGATAATATTTATTTGTAAAAAAAAAAATAATAATAAAAAATAATAATAATAGTAAGAACTGAATGAATAAAAGTAACCAAATTATTTTAATGTGTGCATTCAAATAACACCAAAAAAGTTACATTCACTGCAACTAATGTTACAGAGTTTGCTACTTTTTCAAAAAATCTAAAGTAACTCGCCTCTTTATTTTTGTCAACCAGGAAGTCAAAGGTGCAGAGTTTGAAGACCAGCAGACTCCTGAGGAGCTCCAGCGTGTCTTTGCTCTTGTAGGCTTCTTGTGTGTTGTCGAAGTCGATGGAGATCCTCTGGCGCTCCGTGTGCGCTTTGCGTCTGATGAGATCCACCTCGCAGGGCTTCTCCACTACAGCGCAGGACGGATCCAGCGGCGCGTCTTCGCTCTTCGGCTCTTTGTGCTGCGTGGATGCTGCTGCTGTGGAGCGAAGCCTCACGCCAAACAAATGAGCCGGCTTTACTCTGGCCACAGCGGGTATTACTTTACAGTAAGACATGTTTATGAAGTTAGGTAGATGTGATAAAGGAAATATACCAGTGCTTCTCGTAGCAATGGAGGTTTCTAGATGAATGAGACGGCAACACCCCAGACTGGAGGGTCATTCAAGCGCGCTTAAAATATGCTAATGTATGGCAGCACTCTGAGTTGTGATTGGCTCACGATCTGTGACGCACCTCATTGCGTCACTGCATATACTAAATACTAAAGTTACTTGTACTGAACACCTGATATATAAAGAGTTTTCTTTACTTTGGGAAAATGTTTTGTTTGGATTTGTTAATAAAAAAAAAGTGCATTTACAGAAAAACTAATTGTACTTACTTAATCTCCTTATCTTGTTAACACAATTTTATATACATAAATGTAAATTCTCATGTCAGAAGCCACTGTTTTATGTTTTGCTTACTGAAATACTGCATTACTTTGCGACTATTTCTAACCCATGTAACAAGAAGGCTTTAAAAACAGCTGAAAATTGTAAGCTGTTTAATCTTTTCCTTTGAATGTAATGTGTTTTAATTTTTAGACCCCTGTCTAGTAATTTATTTGTTTTGACATTATAATTTTTTATTTAATTTTCTTTTTATTATTATTTTGTAGTTTTGTATTGTAACTGCTTTTTTATTGGTTGATATAATGTTCATAAAAAAACAAAAACAAAACACCTGATATTTGTTTTGCATTGCAAATTTTTCATCCACAAGAACACTTTGCCTAAAATTGATCTCTGAAATTTCCCACACTGTAAAATCTCATTGCTATGAACACATTTTTATGAACTAATCTTTTTTTCTGAGGGTTTCTTTGTTTACCACTTTGTAGCCTGTTTTTTTCTTTTTTCCCTTCAAATGTTCCCCTCAAAATTTCAAATGTAGTGCTGTTTCTTCTTTGCAATAAATAAGTAAATAAAAACTAAACACCTGATAGATTTTCTCAATAATAATATAAAACAAAGGGAAGCTTAATGTAAAATAATGCATAGATATATGTAAATAAAGCAAATTTGGTCCATTAATTAAAATTTATTTGGTATACAAATGTGTTATTATTGTTAACTAAAACTGTTAAAAACACTTAAATAAAGCTGAATTAAAATAAAATAAAAATATTAGATAAAAACTAGATATAAGAAATAAGTTTGGAGCATTAAAATTATTAACTGGAAAAAATAAAACTAGCCTAAATAGTCAAGTCAAGTCACCTTTATTTATATAGCGCTTTTAACAATACAGATTGTGGCAAAGCAACTGAACAGCATTAATTAGGAAAATAGTGTGTCAATAATGCAAAGTGACAATAGTAAACACTCATTTTTCAGTTAAAGGCAGTTCATCATTGAATTCAGTGATGTCATCATCCAGCTCAGTTCAGTTTAAATAGTATCTTTGCAATCAAGTCAACGATATCGCCGGAAATGAAGTGTCCCCAACTAAGCAAGCCAGAGGCGACAGCGGCAAGGAACCAAAACTCCATCGGTGACAAAATGGAGAAAAAACCTTGGGAGAAAACAGGCTCAGTCGGGGGGCCAGTTCTCCTCTGACCAGACAAAACCAGCAGTTCAATTTCAGGCTAGCAAAGGCACAATGTGCCGAGGAATCATCTGGTTCCTGTGGTCTTGTCCCGGTGGTCGTCTGAGACAAGGTCTTTACAGGGGAATAACATCTGTATCTGGGGCTCATCTAGTTGTCCTGGTCTCCGCTGTCTTTCAGGGCTGTAGAGGTCCTCTCTAGGTGCTGATCCACCATCTGGTCTGAATATGTACTGGATCCGGGTGACTGCAGTGACCATCTGATCTGGATACAGACTGGATCTGGTGGCAACGGTGACCTCGGAATAAGAGAGAAACAGACTAATATTAGCGTAGATGCCATTCTTCTAACGATGTAGCAAGTACATCGGGTGTTATGGAAAGTGTTCCCGGTTCCGGTTGACCTAATTAATGCAGCCTAAAAATCCTTTAACGGATTTGAATATTAGAAGCGTATTAGTGTGTTATGTGTAAGCCAGGTTAAAGAGATGGGTCTTTAATCTAGATTTAAACTGACAGAGTGTGTCTGCCTCCCGAACAATGTTAGGTAGGTTATTCCAGAGTTTGGGCGCTAAATAGGAAAAGGATCTGCCGCCCGCAGTTGATTTTGATATTCTAGGTATTATCAAATGGCCAGAGTTTTGAGAACGCAGCGGACGTGGAGGACTATAATGTAACAAGAGCTCGTTCAAATACTGAGGTGCTAAACCATTCAGGGCTTTATAAGTAATTAGCAAGATTTATAGTGTGTCAATAATGCAAAATGACAATAGTAAACACTCATTTTTCAGTTAAAGGCAGTTCATCATTGAATTCAGTGATGTCATCATCCAGCTCAGTTCAGTTTAAATAGTATCTGTGCAATCAAGTCGACAATATCGCTGTAAATTAAGTGTCCCCAACTAGGCAAGCCAGAGGCGATAGCGGCAAGTAACCAAAACTCCATATTAACGTTTCTGCATTTGACATTGAGAGCATAGGTCGTAATTTAGATAAATTTTTGAGATGGAAAAATGCAATTTTACCCAGAGCACAAATTCCGAGTATGGGTCACCATACTTGGCCACATGTCACTTCACTTTTGATATGATACCTCTTCATTCACTGCTACGAATTGATGGCGGTCAGATAAGTACGATTTGAACCATGCTAATGCACTTCCATTAATGCCAACAAAGTTTTCTAGTCTATGCAAAAGAATGTTGTGGTCAATAGTGTCAAACGCAGCGCTAAGATCCAATAGCACTAATAGAGAGATACAACCCCGATATGATGATAAGAGCAGGTCATTTGTAACTCTAATGAGAGCAGTCTCAGTACTATGATACGGTCTAAATCCTGACTGGAAATCCTTACAGATACCATTTTTCTCTAAGAAGGAATTTAATTGTGAGGATACTACCTTTTCTAGTATTTTGGACAGAAAAGGGAGATTTGAGATCGGTCTGTAATTAACTAGTTCTTTGGGGTAAAGTTGTGTTTTTTTTTAATGAGAGTCTTAATAACAGCCAGTTTGAAGGTTTTGGGGACATATCCTAATGACAATGACGAATTAATAATAGTCAGAAGAGGATCTATGACTTCTGGAAGCACTTCTTTTAGGAGCTTAGATGGAAAAGGGTCTAACATACATGTTGTTGGTTTAGATGATTAACAAGTTCATACAATTCTACCTCTCCTATAGTAGAGAATGAGTGGAATTGTTCCTCAGGGGATCTATAGCTGAAATAAAACAAAATTAACCCTAAATAGTAATATTAAATTGTTTTAAATAAAAAATTAGTAAATTACAAAAAATTAAACTAACATAAAATAAAAATAGAAAAATAGGGGCTCATTTAAAATATTAATGAATTTTTTATTATTATATTATAATACTAAAACAATACTGACTGGTATTTTATATTTGGAGGCACAACCTTTGTAAAATCTAACTGTATCTACCAGTTAAAGCTTCCGATAGTGATTAATGATATTTCCAAACCTCATTACAGTAGATTCACCTGCCCTTCTTTTTACAAAGTGCTCCTATCTTGCATGTGATCCAGCTGCTGTTTTCTGCTCTCTATTGCTTTTTCGATGGATTTAGATCTCCACCCATCGCTTGTCACTTCAGAACAGTCCAGCGTTTTGTTTTCAGCCATCCTGGCCATTCTCCCGCACAAAGACTAATTTGGTGTCAACGATATTATCCAGGTCATTTTAGAGTTTCTGCCTTTTATAAGCTAAGATTCAGTTGCCTGTTTTGGTAAACAATGCAATACAATAAAATGGCCTTGTGTCAGTAAGGTCGATAATCAATAAAAAAAATGTTTATAGCAACCATAAAATCACTGCTCTCTGCCAGTTATGCTGATTTTTCCAAAGAAAAATGTGCTTCTGTTACCAAATACTCTAGTTTGAGGTCATTGACTCAAGTACGGAAGATATGAAGTCCTAATCAATATGATGTTACGCTGCCAATGACTTTCTTAATGACTCATTAGATTGATTATTGTGTTTGTCCATTGGAAGTCACACAAACCTTTGCTATATGACGTTCCTGAACCTCACTGAAATACTGTTAAAGTTTTTGTTAATATTTTTAAATGAGATTTTATTTTAATATTTTCTTTTTTAATTTTCTTGAATTTTCGTTCAAGTTTTAGTAATTCTGTTTTTGTCTTTTATTAGTTTTTTTTTTTTTTTTTTTTACATGTCTCTATAGTATTTATTATTTTTTGTTTATTATTTTTTGTTTATTTCTAGTTATTTTAGAATCAATTTTGCCTTAGCAACTAGCTGAAATAAAGTTTCAATTTAAAAAAATATTCCATTCTAATTCAGTTTATTTTATTTCAAGTAAGGAAAATGCCTTTATGGTTTTAGTTTTAGTTGACTATAATAACTCTGATGTTAACGCTGTTTGATACCTTTTCACACTATCTGCATTCATGTGAAGACGTTTAGTATTTCAGTGATAGTTCATGTATTATCTTACTATGTGTATTACCAGAAGCTTCACTTTTTTGTTTTTGTCAAACTGACTCAGCATTAGTGTATTCAGTGAATGCACTTTGAGAGAATAGGACCGTCATACAAACCCTCTCCTGATCTCAGTGGATTATATGGGTGTGACCCAACAGCAGTGAATGTGGTTTTACTTGTCTGTGCACTGAAGAGTTGCTCAGTACTGCTCACTTATTCAATCACATTCAAAGATATGAGATCATAACTCACTTTGAGGATATTGAATGAGCTTTCTAACCTCACTGTGCCTAGTGCAGCAACTTCTATGTCTACAGAACGTACAGTGTTTGAGCAAATAGATGCAAGAAGTGGTCAGTCTATCTCAAATAAACTTTTGCTTTTCAGTCTTTAAATTGATGGATCGATGAGACTTAGAAACCACATTTGCCACTATTCGCAACTACTTTCACCCCTTTCTTCACAGCAAATTAATTTATTATTTTTGATATTTCTAAAGATTGTTTTGAACAAAAGCCTTTTAAAATGGTATCTTTAACAGACTTGACCTCAGATGAGCACATCAATACTTCCCTCTGCTGGAGAAGAACATTAGTGTGGCCTATGTATCTCAATTGCCTGACAGCAAGCAAGCTAATGAACTTGACTTTTTCACTAGTTTGTGCAGTGATTCTCAACCAAGGGGTCTCAAAATTACTAAAAAGTATTTAAATATTACAATAAACATTTTAATACATTAATAATAATGTTTTATATTATTAATGTATTAAAATGGCATAACTATATTAAAAATGTAAATGCTAAAATACACATAAAATCAAAATGTACACTAAAATGCATTTCTAATTCCTAATACAATAATAAAATAAAAATAGTAATGCAATAATAAAATGCAATACAAATACTTTCCCCCTCAATAATGAGTGCTTTTATCTAAATAACATACAGTTCTTGTAACTTCTGCAATATTGCAGAATGGATTGTGGTTAAGTATATAAATATATCCAGTTTATATTAATAAAAAAGTTTGAAATTGATCCAAGGGGTCTCAAAATTACTAAAAAGTATTTAAATATTACAATAAACATTTTAATACATTAATAATAATGTTTTATATTATTAATGTATTAAAATGGCATAACTATATTAAAAATGTAAATGCTAAAATACACATAAAATCAAAATGTACACTAAAATGCATTTCTAATTCCTAATACAATAATAAAATAAAAATAGTAATGCAATAATAAAATGCAATACAAATACTTTCCCCCTCAATAATGAGTGTTTTTATCTAAATAACATAGTTCTTGTAACTTCTGCAATATTGCAGAATGGATTGTGGTTAAGTATATAAATATATCCAGTTTATGTTAATAAAAAAGTTTGAAATTGATCACTTCCATCATGCTTACATCAAAAATACTAGAAATGGCTAATAACTGGGGGACCTTTGAATCAAAAAAAGTTGAGAACCACCTAAAATCAAAATGTAAACTGAAAATCATTTCTGTTTTCTATATAATAAAATAATAGTAAAATATAACTTTTAACGATATTTATTGTATCCAATACATTAATATAAAAAATAATAAAATACAAAAAGCCCCCTCGATGACTGTTAACTGAAGAACATACACTTCTCGTAATTGTCGAAATCACAAAATAAATAGTTGGTAATGAAATATATCAGTATTCTTAGTTTCTGTTTGAAAACAAGCAGCTTTATCAAAATTACATAATTTTTTTTTTTTTAAAGGGATGAGCGGATTTGTGGATTGAGTGGAATGGTCTCTTGAACGAACAGATTTAGCACTCATATTTTGTAGAGTTCAGGAAATAACAAAAAAAAAAAACTTATATATTCACTATAGAAATAGACTTTGGATTTCCATGAAAATTTTTTTTTTTACTAAACTACTAAAAACTAAGACATCACAATGAAATTGAACTATAACATGAAATCCAACATTCCCTCTTGCACTGCACACAAAAGCACCACCAGATTTCAACGATTCTGAGTCATTGGGTTTATTCATACAGAATTAAGTTAGCAACACATTTACAGATCATGAAGTATGTGACATATCGCACAATAACAGGTGGTCACGTGACATTTGATCAGGGTTCGGTAATCAGTCTCTGTCTATGTCCCCAGGACAATCTGGCTGGAAGATGAAACACGGCGGCCAGAGGACGCTGCAAAAGCCAGTGGACCATCCGACAGGGTCACATCAGGAAACGGGATGATGGTAGAGTGAACGCTTCACAAGCTGCATCATTATTCTTCATCCTTCTGCTCATAACCGTGTTTGATGTGTTTCCAGAGTTTCTACAAAAAGAAGATAAACAATTAGATCACAGCACACAGGGTGAGCAAAGCACATTACAGACATATTATCATTTATACTCATTATTATATTATCATTTATACTCATTATTATATTATCATTTATACTCAGATTGAACCGAAAATATGAATTAGTTGAACTCTATACTGATTTCACAGCATTGCAGTGTTGTGTTCAAATCCCATTAAACTGTTGATATAAAATTAGAATATTATTAAGACAACATGGATGAATTTATACTAATTTAACACTTACATATGGGTTTTTAGGCTCAAGTTTGTCCTATATTTGCATATTTAGTTGTAGTTAGCCTTAGCCAGCAGGCTAGTCAAGGTCAGTCTACCGGCGGGTCAAGAAGAAATCAACCGAATTCAAGCGAAAAATGACTTACCCCCCGATTTATGTTGTCAAATACCGCTTCTCCAGCCTGATCAAACACCCTCTCGAAGACAACAGCTCCCACCATGATGGTGATGGCGAAAGTTGACGTTCTTCTGAAGAGCAGATTGTAGACACTTCTTGCGAGCGCCATGATGGTCAATGGAGTGTTCCGGAAGAGTGGGCGGAGCGATTAGCTGTCTATCAAATCCCTCGACCAATGAGGCTATTTCATTAAAACCTTTATTTAAGAGAAATACATTTTAAAGTAAAGCGAATACATTTTAAATGTGTTTATTTTTATGTTTATATTTATTTTTTACGCAAACGTAAACATATTAAAACATGTACAATTATCTTGTAATATACGGAATGGTTTGTAACAGACATGTGACATTGGAAATTTGTATATTTCCTGTATTTACCATATAATTCACTTCTAAATATTTTACATTTGAGGGTAATAATGTCGTAATTTAATAAATTATGTCATTAGGCACCCTCTTTAAGAAGGGAATGGAATATTCCTGACCCCCTTCCGCGTCCGTTTAGTTTCCTCCGTAACCCGGTAGATTTTCTCACGTGACCGGCGCAACTTCCTTTCTTGTGGCAGCCATCGAGAAAAATGGTGAGGATTTTACCGAAACCGAGCAATCTGAATCAATCCTGTGTATTACACATGTTTAACGACCATGAGAAAGAGTTTTAAATACACATCGAGCAGTGCGCTAGAGTTTGAGCCTAGTATCTAAAAAGATGACTTTGAAACAAAGTGAATTTTGAGCGATGAAACGATGTGTTGGTGGCTGCTTGAAGCTGACAAGTCCAGCAGTGCTCCGTGCCGTCTAGCCTGTTAGCGTAGCGTACGATTTGGAACGGATTTAAACGGCAAATATAAATACGTGAAGTTAATATTATGGAACTATTTTGCATATTGTGGCTTTCAGCAGTCGGTAGCCATGCGAACACAAATGACGGTTTGGTATAATCTGTTTAGACGGAACGGGTTCAGTGCGAGCTGACATGCGTTTCATAAGCATTAACATCAGAAACCCCTGACATTATTTGTAGGAAATTGTTCATGAAGAAAACTAAACCTCAATAACTGCACCTGTATGCTTTTGATATTTATCCACAGTTCCAGGAGTCTGTAATGGCTACATTTTTTATCAATGCAAAAAATGGTTTGATGTGATTAGATGCTAATGAATAACGTTCCCGTGTGTTTGTAGGCAAAGATCAAGGCCAGAGACCTGCGTGGAAAGAAAAAGGAGGAGCTGCTGAAGCAGCTGGATGATCTGAAGGTGGAGCTTTCCCAGCTCCGCGTTGCCAAGGTTACCGGTGGAGCTGCATCCAAACTCTCCAAGATGTGAGTGATGGGATGGAGCCGGTTGTGTTCGTCTGTTCACCACAGATCATTATTGGAGGCCTGAATGTGCTGTAAAGGAAGAACAATGATCTGGGGCCCCTTCTGCATTTCAATGCCAGCTTTAGTGTGATGGGAGGACACTAAAGGTTCTTTAGTGTATTCTGATCCAAGAACAAGGACATTCAGTATTCACACACAATTTCTCCAGGTCTTAAAGTCTTAATTAGCCCTTCGACTAATTAATTGGAATAGAAAGTTCTAAATTCATAGCTGTGGCACAGAATGTTGCATGCATTTCATCAGTGTTTTTGTCTTGTTTTTTGGTACTAATATCTGTACATCTTTCAGAGCTATCAAGAAACATCACAAAATTAAGCTAAATTTAGTTTATGCTTAAAAAAAGAACAAACATCTATTAATGGGGTATGAACTTTTTCCCTCTGAATTAACCCCCTCCCCTTTACATAAATACTGAGGATGAACATATTACAGTGTGATCAGATGCCAAAGTAAAAGTTAGTGGTTGAGAGCAAAGTTTTAAGTTTACCTTATAGAAACCCTGTGTGTATCGATTCCATATTCAAAACATGTTTTGAAATGGTTTGCAGCCTTATTTCTTTTGCGTTCCAGTCAAAAATTTCACTCTGGAGTTAATTGAAAACCTTGAATTAAATGGAAAGCATCATTCTAATGTTTATTTCCTCTCTTTTCAGCCGCGTTGTCCGCAAGTCCATCGCCAGAGTCCTCACAGTCATCAACCAGACACAGAAGGAGAACCTGAGGAAGTTTTACAAGGTCAGTTTAGCGCCACTGAAATGCATTCATGCATACGCACATAAGATGCTCTTTTGTCTGCTTGTAACGCCTTGAAGTCATTTTTAGATAGTCTAGTTTAAAGAGAAGGGGAGAGCCTGTTTAAATCATCTTCACACCAAAATTGTCTTTTAGACTGATATATTTAGTCGAGTTTGATCGAGTTGATGCTTAAACCGCAGTGTTTTTGTTGAAGTGGGAAGCTGTAATGGCCATTAGTGTCACGTTACGCTCTTTACTGTATTCAGATGACATGATTTGTTATAAGACACAAACTACACAGAGCGTCCGTTTAGACTCCAGCAAGACGATCACCCAGCACTCCTCCTGCTAAAGTGGAACTAGTGTGAATATTCTCTTGCTAAAGAATTATGACCGTTCACGGCAGAGTCTTTAAATGATGCTCATCTGCTGTGAGCAGCCGACAAAACCTTTATCTCCTATCATTTATTGAACTAAAGCTGTAGTCCAAATTGAAAATACAGTTTACTGGACAACCCAGTTACATTGTCTTGGAAATGTATGTTAATACTTATAATGTAGTATTTTAGTAATTTATTAAAAATGAACGCCTAGTCTTTTATTTAATAATTTTTTTTTATTTTTATATATGTGTGTTATATATATACACACACACACACACATATATATATACACACACCTGTATATATAAAATTTCATGTATTTTTATAACATTATACTTTGCATTATATTACCTGTCATCAGTTTTATTATATTTAACTGATGTTTGGTTTATTGATCCCATCTCTGAATCGACCCTTTTCATATTTCTGGGTTTCTCAGAAGCAAAAGTCATCTGAATGGAAATTACAACTCAATTTTTGTATTCCCATTTTTTATAATAGAAAAAGAAAAAATCTACAGTGGGTTTTCTATGAGCATTTCTATTTGAATTTGTTAAATTTGATGTCACTTACTGCGCTGTATTAGAAACACAGCAGCATTAACTTGTTTTCTGAAATGAAGTGCCAAGGTTAATATAATGCAAAGTATAGTGTTCTAAATGTACAAAAACTATAAATATATAAAAATGTAAATGGAAAATGCACTATAAAAGTATATATATTTTTTTTATAGATTTAGATTTGTTAACTGTGGAAACCGTTATCATAGTTTGTGAAAAGGGTCCATGTACTTTTATTATGGAAGGTTTTACGGCTGAATGTTCAAGTCTGATCGATCTCCACACTTCCTGTTCTCCGTCAGCTTCCTGTATTGTCCGCTTGTTGATTCTAACAGCCCTGTTCTTTTCATTTTCAGGGTAAGAAGTACAAGCCTTTGGACCTGAGACCCAAGAAGACGCGCGCCATCCGTCGTCAGCTGACAAAACACGAGCAGAACCTGATGACCAAGAAGCTGCAGAGGAAGTCCCGCCTCTACTCCATCCGCAAGTTCGCCGTCAAGGCTTGAGAGGCTGTACTGTTGTTTTTCACTGAAGAAGATGATGGCTCACTTTTGCACTAAAAAACAAGGTGAATATCTGCTAAACAGTACAAAAATGCATACAAACGTCCAACAATTACAAAACGAAACCTTATGAACCCAAACTAAATGTTCTGACGTTGTGGTGGTTTTCATGGATGCTCGTCTCATAAATGTGATCATTCAGACATGCAGAAGGCTGCATAACATTCACTGAGGCTGTGTGTGTCAGCGGGTTTAGAATCAGCTCCACAGCTGCTTTCATTCACCGTGGGTCACTCCAGTCCTGTTCTGCGTTTAAACTCCTGCATCTCTCACTTCTGTCCTCTGTGAGGTTTGCTTGATCCTCTTCTACATCCAGCTGCTCAGAACCGCTGGTGAGAAGCTTCCCATCAGGAGTGAACACACAGCCGTACGCCGAGTCCTAGTGACGCTGAAACACACACACACACATCATGAAGCTTGTGATGTCATAGTGCTAAACATGTGACCAGTCAAAGGTTCTCAACCGCCAGTGGTCATATCCCAGACCCTCACCTGATAAACAAACATACGAGTATCAAGCATTGCCACACAGACTGTGTGAATGAGTGTGTGTTTGTTTTACCATGTCGCCTTCAGCGGTGGATGCTAAAACCAGTCCGTCTCTGGAGAAAGCCAAACACGCTCACAACCTCCCAACACAAACAGACACACGCGCCGCATCGGCAACCAAACACGCACTGTGCCTGAACACACATACATAAATATACCAGCGGTCAAAAGTTTGGAATAATGGCAATTTTTAATGATTTTTTTTTTGAATGTCTAATGATTTCTTCCGCTCACCAAGGCTGCATTTATTTGATCAAAAATACAGTAAAAATAGTAAAATTGTAAAATATTATTACGTTTAAAAATAACAGTTTTCTATTTGAATATATTTTAAAATGTAATTTATTCCTGTGATCAAAGCTGAATTTTCAGCATCATTACTCCAGTCTTCAGTGTCACATGATCTTCAGAAATCATTCTAATATGCTGATTTGCTGCTCAAGAAACTATTATTATTAATGTTGAAAACAGTCAGAAATCACTTTTTGTGGAAACCGATACATTACCATTCAAAATGTTTGAAATGATTACTTTAATACATGTATAATGTTACAAAAAAATTCTATTTCAAATAAATGCTGTTCTTTTGAACTTTCTACAAAAATATGAAGCAGCATCAAGGATCATGTGACACTGAAGACTGGAGTAATGATGCTGAAAATTCAGCTTTGCATCACAGGAATAAATTACATTTTAAAATATATTACAATAGAAAATTGGTTTTTTAAATTGTAATAATATTTCACAATATTACTGGTTTTACTGTGTTTTTGATCAAATAAATGCAGCCTCTGTGAGCAGAAAAGACTTTCTTTTTTATCCTGAATCAAACATCAAAGCTCATTTTCACCAGCGTCCCACTAAAAGAGAAACAGACGCAGGCCACGTCCCCCTGGTGCCCCTGTAATGTCACAGGCTCTTTTTCCTCGTGAAGTTTGCAGACTCTCACGGTCCGATCCCAGGAGCCCGTGGCCTGAACCCACAGAAAGAGGAGGTGATGCAGCTC